ACATCAAAAAATTGAAAAATCCAAAACTCAAAAAATGGACATATTGAAAAATCGCAAAGCCAAAGGATCGAAAATTGAAAAGTCAAAAAATCGAAGTCGAAAAATCGAAAAATCAAGAAATCTAAAATTTAAAAATTGAAAAATCGAAAAATCGAATGGACATATTGAAAAATCCCAAAGCCAAATGATCGAAAATTGAAAAGTCAAAAAATCGAAGTCGAAAAATCGAAAAATCAAGAAATCTAAAATTTAAAAATTGAAAAATCGAAAAATCGAATGGACATATTGAAAAATCGCAAAGCCAAAGGATCGAAAATTGAAAAGTCAAAAAATCGAAGTCGAAAAATCGAAAAATCAAGAAATCTAAAATTTAAAAATTGAAAAATCGAAAAATCGAATGGACATATTGAAAAATCCCAAAGCCAAAGGATCGAAAATTGAAAAGTCGAAAAATCAAAAAAACGAAGTCGAAAAATCGAAAAATTAAAAAATCTAAAATTTAAAAATCTTGAATTGAAAAACTGAAAAAGTAAATCGATTTTTCAATTTTTAAGTTTTAGATTTTTTAATTTTTCAATTTTTCGATTTTTTAATGTTTTAGATTTTCGATATGAAATCGTATTAACCCAGTGGATTTTTTCGAAAAAATGTCGAAAAGTCGAACAACTGAGAAACCGAAATAGGCCAAAATCGAAAAATCGAAAAGTTAAAAATTGAACAATTTATAAATAGAGAAATTGACAATAAAAATATCGAAAAATCCAAATCTTGATTAATCGAGAAATCAAAAAACTTAAAAATTCGAAAAATTCAAAAATTGAAAGATCAAAAGAACGAGAAATCGAAAAGTGATGAAGTCGAAAAATCGAAAAATAGAGAAATTGATAAACAAAAAGTTAAAAGTTGAAAAATTGGAAAAGCGGAAAAATCAAAAAACGAAAAAATTGAACAATGGAAAAACTAAGAAACCGAAATAGACCAAAATAAAAAATTGAAAAACTAATAAATCGAAAACCTGAACAATCAAATCTCAATAAATCGGGAGTGAAATATTAACAAATCGAAAAATTGAAAAAACAGAACATCTAAAACCAGGAAGTCGAAAAATTGAAAAATTAAGAAATATTGAAAACTTAAAATATCAAAAGATTGAAAAATATAAAATTTAAAAATCTAAAAATTGAAAAATCGAAAAAGTAAAAAGGTAGACACATCGAAAAATCCAGAAATCAAAAATAGAGAAGCCGAATAATTGAACTATTGAAAAATCCTAAAACTGAAATATTTATAAACTGAAAAATCGAAAAATCAAAAAAATGAAGTCGAAAAATAGAAACCTTAAAAAATCGAAAAATTGGAAAATCAAAAACCTGAAAAATTAAAAAATTGAAGAACAGGAAAATCGAAACACTCGAAGATCAAGAAATGGGAAAATCAGAACATCGATTGATTGAAAAATCGAAAAATTGAGGGTTTATAAAAGTCAAATTTGAAAAATTAAGAAATCGAAAATTTGACAAAATGACAATTGCAAAACAGAAAACCTAAAACTAGGAAGTTGAAAAATCAAAAGATTAAGTCGAAACATTTGAAAAATTCGAAAACTTGAAAAATTGAAATATCGAAAAACTGAAATGAAAAATCGAGAAAACGAAAAATCTAAAATTTTAAAAATAAAAAAAATCGACACATCGAAAAATCCAGGAGTCAAAAATCGAAAAGTCGAAGAATCGAAATATTGAAAAATCCCGAAACTGAAATATCGAAAAACAGAAAAATGAAAGAAAAACTAAAAATGGGAAACTAAATCGGGAAATCAAGACATTGAAAAATCGAAAAATTTAAAACGACAATTGAAAACAGAAAATCTAAAACCGGAAGTCGAAAAATCGAAAAATTAAGCAATCGAAAAATTGAAAAATCGAAAAAGTAAAAAAATCGACACATCGAAAACTCCAGAAGCCAAAAATCGAAAGGACGAAGAATCGAAATATTGAAAAATCCCAACTGAAATATCGAAAAACTGAAAAATGAAAGAAAAACTGAAAAATGGAAAACCTGAAAAATCCGAAAACTGAAATATCCAAAAACTGAGAACCTAAAAAGTCGAAAAATTGAGCAATAGAAAATTCCAAAAAGTGATATCGAAACCCTCGAAAGTCAAGAAATGGGATTAATTGAAAAATCGAAAAATGACAGTTCATAAATGTCAAATTTGGAAAATTGAAAAATCGAAAATTTGAAAAAACGACAATTGAAAAATAGAAAATCTAAAACCGGGAAGTCGAAAAATCGATTGATTAAGAAATCAAAACATTTGAAAAATTCGAAAACTTGGAAAACTGAAATATCGAAGAGCTGAAATGAAAAATCGAAAAATCTAAAATTTTAAATATTTAAAAACTAAAATTCCAAAAAATTGGAATCGAAAAACTGAAAAATCCCAAAACTAAAATATCCAAAAACTGATATTCTAAAAAATCGAAAAATTGACAAAAGTGAATTTTCGGCCGATACTAACACCTGTAAATTTGATTCATTGTTTGTAAATTCGCAGTTCATGTTAGGATTTTAATCGTTAACTGGTTCTAACACAAACTTAACAGTCAGAGATTTGTTGTGAAATATCCTGTAGTTAGGTAACAAGCGAGTCCGAAGTTTAAGTTGTGTTGTTCAAAAAATATTATGTATATTAAGAAAAAAAGTCAAAATATACACCCCGCCCACCCACCCCATCTCATTTGTGATGATTTACATTGGGTTTACATTTTGTCTTTTTTTTCTTAGTATGTGCAGACTTATTTCGACAACACGAAACTTAAAACATGTCGAAAATGGTAAATTTATTGAAAAATCGAAAACTTAAAATATCGAATATGTAACTGAAAAATTCAAAATGTGAATTTGAAAAATTGAAATATCTAAAAATTGAAATAACGAAAAATTAAAAATCGAGAAACTTAGAAGTGAAAAAGTTATACTTATACAATCTGAAATGTGAAAAATTGAAATATCGCAGGTCGAGATTTTTCTTATTTCTAGATTAATTGGTCGCATCGGCAGCTAGGTCATTAGCAACCTTGAGAAATTGAAGAAACGGAAAATTGAATTCTCAAGAACTGAAAAATTGGAAAATAAAAAAATTCCAAATCGTAAAATTGAAGTCGATGAAACGAAAAATTTTAAACTGAAAAACGGAAAATTCAAATATCTGAAAATTGAAACACGAAAAACTGCGAAATTGAAAATCGAAAAATCAAAAAATTCCAAAAACCGAAAACATGAAAAATTGAAAAAATGAAAAAAAATCACAAAACTGAAAACACAAAAAATTGAAAAAATTAATAATAGAGAACCTGAAAAATCACAAAAGTAAAAACATGAAAAATTGAAAAATCTAAAAATTAAAATTCCGGAAACTGAAACGTCGAAAAGATGAAAAATCGAAATAATTGAAAATTAAAAATTTGAAATCGATCAAATGAAAAACTTGAAACTGAAAACACGAAAAATTAAAAATCGAGAAACTGAGAAGTCGAAAAAAGCAAAATCGGAAAGATGGAAAATTGAAAAATTACAGGTTGAGAAACTGAAGAAACTGAAACTTGAAAAGTTGAAATATTACAAAATCGATTGCTAATCATCTAAAAATTGGAAAATCCATGGAGAAAATAAAGAAAATTAAAATCGTGAAACTGAAAAACAGAAGAAACTAAAATTTAAAATCCAAAAATTAACAATAGAAAAAGTCGAAAAATGAAAGAAACGAAGAAGTGAAAAACCGAAAAATTAAAAATCGGGAAACGAAAGTTTGAAAAATTGCACAAATAAAAAATTAAAATTTCAAATAAACTGAAAAATTGCAAGATCAAAAAATTCAGCATCCAAAAATTGAAAAACGAAAAATTAAAATATCTAAAAATTGAAACATTAAAAATTGCGAACTGAAAATCGAAAAAACAAAGAATTCCAAAAACCGGAAACACGAAAAACTGAAAAATCAAAATCTTGTCGAAAAAATCGAAAAAATGACAAAACTGAAAACATGAAAAACTAAAAAAAAAATTATAATAGAGAACTTAAATAATCGAAAAAATGAAAAAATCATAAAACTGAAAACGTGAAAAGTTGAAAAATCTAAAAATTAAAATTCGGGGAACTGAAAAGTCGAAATGATGAAAAATCGAAAAACTGAAAAACTGAAAAATTTTAAATCGAGAAACCGAAAAATCGAAAAGAGCAACACCGAAAATCTGAAAAATCGAAAAATCGACAATCTAAAAAATAGAAGAAACTAAAAATTGAAAAATTAACTAAAAAATAATAAATCAAATACTGAAAACTCGAAAAACTGAAAAAGCTAAAAATTTTAAAAATCAAAACTGAAAAGTCGTAAAAAATAACTGAAAATCTGAAAAGTCATAAAATTGTAAACTGAAAAGTTTTAAAGAAAAAATGAAAAAGTGGAAAATTTAAATATGTATATAAAAATTGAAAAATCAGGAAATTAAAATCGAGAAACTCAAAAATGGAGAAATTAGAGAAACCAAAAATTAAAAAATCGAAAAATTAACAACAGAGAACCTGAAAAATCGAAAAAAAAAAAAATCAAAAAACCGAAAACACGAAAAATTTAAATATCTATAATTTTAAAAATCAAAACATTAAGTTAGAGAAACTGAAAAGTCAAAAAGATGAATTTTTTTTTTATTTTGCGCTAAAAACGAATTATAGTAACCGAAAAGTTAGGATTTAGTTCTTAAAAATCAAAAATAAAAATATAACAAAAGATTTGATTTTTAAATAAAGTAGAATTTAAAAAATCGACTTTTCGGTGAATTTTCCCCAGCGAAAGATCCCCATAAAACCAAGAAAGCATGCATTACTGAATAATTTTCCTCTGGTGCTAAATTTAATTCGAAACAGGACACCACAATATAAAAAACGCATTTTGTATTTTATTAATTTAATTACAACATTAAACAACAAATAAAACTTCACTAATCATCCGAATGATGCGCCTTTATATGCCTTTTCAAATTCGAGTTCTGCTTAGCCTTATATGAACACTTTTTACACTCAAACCACTTAATATCCTGCCCCGCCACATGATACGCATTCATGTGCACTTTTAAATTAAAACTCTTCTTAGCTTTATAAGCGCACTCTTTGCACTTGTACCACGTAATATCGTCCTCACCCAAATGCCGCGCATTTATGTGACTTTTCAAATCCGTTTTATGCTTAGTTTTGTACTCACAGTGATCACACTCATGCCATTTAATACTCTGCCCTTCCAAATGGTACACACTCACGTGCTTTTTCAAATTCGACTTCTTCTTAGCTTTGTACGGACATTGATTGCACTCGAACCATTTAATGTTCTCCTCGTCCGTATGCTGAAAATTTAGGTGACTTCTCAAGTAGGATTTATGTTTAGCTTTGTATGAACATTTGGGGCAGTAAAACCACGGGATTTCATCATCATCTAAGTGTTTTACCGTTTTGTGTATTTTTAAGGAGTGTTTATACTTGGATTTGTAGTCACACTGGTCGCATTTGTGCCACGTACAAAGTTTCTGTGTGGAGTCTTCGGCAGTTTTTAATCGAGCACTGTCTTCTTTTATGGCGTGTTGAAGCCACTTGAGAGAAAAGTGAGTTTCGAAGCTACACGTTGCACAAATGTAACTTTTAATGCTATGCAAATCGTGTTTGTGTTTTTTAATGGTGTGGCAAGCCTCGATGTGTTGCTTTAAAAGAAGGGTTAGGTCTGCCTGGAAATCACAGTCCTTGCAATAATAAACTTCAATAGTTGTAGTTTCACAGTTGAAGAGTTTTAAAGAGGGACAGTGACGTCTGATGTGGTCCATGATTACACACTTTGGTTGTCTTCAAACATTTTTGGAAGTTGTTGATGTAAACATAACCTCAAAATTAACCTTCTGCTTGTTTTCTAGTCAAAGATTATCAATTTTTAACTGATTATTGATGCGTTTTGTTGCAAATTTTACGGTAGGAAGCACAGTTCAGGATAAAAATTATGTGGAGGTTATAAAAATACAGTTCACTACAACAAAATTTCGTGGTAGGCAACACACAATACTCTGACTAGTCTTTAACTTCGAATTATCGTTTCTCTGGTTAATTTTTGAGGTTATATTGTCACAATAGATTTTGAAATAATTTTTCACCAAAATAGCAGCTAAAAGGGTAAAAGTAAACTTAGTAAGTACTTTCACACTATAGCCATTCTAATAATAAATGAAATTAGGTGAATCAACATGTCGGTCCTGGAATATCCAGAAAACTCTCCCTCGAACATAACCTCAAATTATGGCTTGATAAACCACTTTAGAAGTCACAGCTCATCTCCGCTACGTTTCAACTGTGAAAATAGCAAGGTGGAAAGCTACAAGTGCAAAGACTGCAATTTCCAGACAAAACTAACCCTTTTTTTCAAAGAACACCACGCTATAAAAAAAGAACAAAAAGAATACACCACACAGAAGTACGTTTGTGACAAATGCTTTTTTGAAACATACTTTTCACTCAAATGGTTACAACACACTGTAGAGTGTTTGGAAAATCGTCAAATGAGAAAGTTGTTTCCGCTGTATAAGTGTCCATGTGGTCGCAAATACAAAAGAAAACAGTCTTTAAACAAACACAAAATTTTGAAACACCCTGATGGAAACTCAGTAGTGTGGTACCACTGTGCCCAATGCCCATACAAAGCTAAACAAAAAGGTCACTTAAAAACCCACATATACAACCAGCATATGGACATTCAAAACATTAAGTGGTTTGAATGCGAAAAATGCCCATTCAGAGCCAAACTCAAAGGAAACTTAAAAAACCACGTAGTGGCTCGACATACCACCGAGCACGATATTAAATGGTACGAATGTGCAGAGTGCCCCTACAAAACCAAACAAAAACACCACCTAAAAAGCCACTTCAATGCTTATCATTTAGATGAACGCTACATTAAATGGTACAAATGTGACAAATGCCTCTACAAATCCAAAAAAAAATCCGGCTTGAAAGTGCACATAAACGTGTCACATTTAGACGAAACAGAGATTAAATGGTTTAAATGCGACAGATGTGACTATAAAGGTAAAAACAAATCGTATTTGCAAAAGCATATAATCGCGCGACATTTCGACGATAAAGATATTAAATGGTACGAATGTGAAAAGTGCCCGTATAAAGCAAAACTTAAAGCAACTTTGAAGGATCACACGACCGCGAAACACTCAGACGGGCGCGAGATTAAGTGGTACGAATGTGCCAAGTGCTCGTTTAAAGCTAAGCAGAAGGGGAATTTAAAAAGTCACATAACCGCGTACCACTTGGACGAAAACGAGATTAAGTGGTTTCAGTGTGAAAAGTGCAACTTTAAAGCTAAGAAGAAATTTAATTTGAAGAAGCACATGATTGTGTGGCATTTGGGGGATGAAGATGTTAAATGGTTCGAGTGTGAAAGGTGTCCGTTCAGATCTAAACATAAATCGTCTTTTAATAGACACGTCAATGTGCATCAAATCAATGAATAAATTATACCTAATTAAAAAACGCTTTTAATTTAAAACAATTTTATTTTTCTTGTGTTACACTTAGAAAAATATCTTTAAATGAAAGTCGTACTTGCCTGGATGCCTTTTCAATGACGTCGTTTAACTTTTTTCTGCGTGGTGGACAATTATCTTGTGTTTGTTCAAATCAGACTTTCTAATAGCTTTATACGAACACATTTTGCATTTGTACCACTTGATATTGTGTTCATCCAAATGGTGGACTGTTACATGTTCACATTTAATCTCCAAGTGGTATTTCCTGACGTGGCATTTTAAATTTACTTTTTGTTTAGCTTTATACGGGCACTTGTCACACTCGTACCATTTAATATCTTTTTCCTCCAAATGGTGGGCGTTAAAGTGGCATTGTAAATGCGACTTTTGTTTAGCTTTATATGGGCACTTTTTGCATTCATACAGCGTGATGTTTTGCTTAACCATGTGGCGCGTTTTTATGTGACGTTTCAAGTTCTCTTTGGATTTACCTCTATATGGGCATTTTTTGCACTCACACCATTCGACGTCCTGGTTGTCTAAATGGCGCAAAATCGTGTGTCTTTTCAAATGGGAAATCTTTCTAGTTTTGTATGGACACTTTTCACACTCGTACCATTTAAAATCTAGCTTATTTAAGTGGCGAATGTTTACATGTACTTTTAAAGCAGATTTGTACTTAGTTTTGAATTGGCATTGTGTGCACTTGTACCATGTGATGTCCTTTTCGTCCACATGGTGTGCGTTTACGTGGATTTTTAAACACCATTTTCGTTTAGACTTGTATGAACAGTTTAAGCACTTATACCACGAGATTTTGTCGTCTTTTAAGTGTTTTGAGTATCTGTGTTGTGTCAGATTTTTCTTATATTTTGATTTGAATTTACAGTCGTTGCAGTTGTACCAGGTCTGTTTAATTTTTTCGTCTTCTTTTACACAATTCGCTTTATAGTCCACACATACTGAGGTATGCTGAAGCCACTTGATTGAAAAATTCGTGTTAAAACCACACTTGTCACAAAAATATTTCTGAACTGTGTATTCTTCACTCAATGATTCTTCTCTTTTAATTCCGTGGTGCCCTTCTACATGTTGTTTAAAAATAAGTGTTAATTTGGTTTGAAAATTGCAGGTTGGGCAGTTGTAACTTTCAATGTTGCTATTTTCGCAGTTGAAAAGCGTCGATGATGAAGGGTGGCATCTGAGGTGGTGTATCATTAACAATAATGATGTTGTAAAGTACGGGCAAACTTTACAATGTTGGACTTTTCTTAAGGAAGACTTGGAGTGTTCTGTCGGGGTTTCACAGTATTCCAAACTCGACATTTTGGTTTGGCTACGGTTAAAATTAGTGTTTTTGGTGTGCTCTAAATTAAACACAGTTTTTTCTTACCGTTTATGAGGTTGTTTGGGTTGTTTTAATTTTTAAATGATGCTCTGGACAGCATAACCTCAAAATGTAAATTTTACTGCAGAATTGATTTTCTGTTGTGTGATAAAGCGGAAATGGTGACATCTTTCCAAGTTTATGGGAAATTTTAATTGAAAATGTTTTTCTCGTCACCACGCTGTAATCGCAGTAAACCATACAGTAACGTCAGTGTCAGTTTTTAAAAGGCCCGTAACGGACTAGAACCATAGATTAATACAGATGCGACACAGGACACACAGGCTGATTTTGCAAAACCAGTCTTATTGACATTGGAGTCCTCAAACGCCAAAGACAAGCGCCAAATTTAAATAGTCCATGCCAATAAAAAAACTTGTTTCACTACAACTCGTCGTCTGAGAACTTGTTCGATCTACAGACCAGAGCGCGCTTAGGCCAATGTCGACTCTAAGCGTTCAGAACCGATTTGGTTGGTTTGGACTATAATTTCTGCTGGAAATAGTTGTTTGGTTGGTTTTTATAACGACTAAGTGAATATTTTTGGTGCATATTTAGATGATTTTACATATTTTGTTTAACTAAGAATTAATTCTTTATTCGCGTTTTATAATTTATACTAGCAAAACGTCTTAAACTAAAAATATTGTTGAAATCGTTTTTTCGGGAAAATGTTTTGGAAACACTGTGTTCTATTTTATATGAATTTTTAAATGTTTTTAGTGACAATTTTTGTGGTTGTTTTAGATACACTGTATGATATCAACAGTGAGAAAAAAATGAAAAATTAAAATAATCGAAAATTCGAAAAATCGAGAAATCTAATAATCGTAAAATCGAAACCTTAAAAAATCGTAAAACGAAACATCAGAAAATTGAAAAAATGTAAAATTCAAAAATCTAAAATTTAAAAACCGAATAACAAAAAATCGAGAAATCGAAACTCCCAAATTTAAAAAATCGGATAACAAAAAGTTAAAAATTCAACAATTTACAAATTGAAAACTTGACAATCAAAATATCGAAAAATCCAAATCTCGATAAATCGAGAAATCAAAAAACTTAAAAATTCGAAAAATTGAAAAATTGAGAGATTGAAAGATCAAAAGAACGAGAAATCGAAAAGTGATGAAGTCGAAAAATCGAAAAATAGAGAAATCGACAAAAAGTTAAAAGTTGAAAAATTGGAAAAGCGGAAAAATCAAAAAACGAAAAAATGGAAAACTGGAAAAACTGAGAAACCGAAATAGGCCAAAATAAAAATTGAAAAACTGATAAATCGAAAACCTGAACAATAAAATTTCGATAAATCGGGAATGAAAAATTAACAAATCGAAAAATTGAAAAACAGAACATCTAAAACCAGGAAGTCGAAAAATCGAAAGATTATGAAATATTGAAAAATTAAAATATCAAAGGATTGAAAAATCTAAAAAGTAAAAAGGTAGACACATCTAAAAATCCAGAAGTCAAAAATAAAAGAGCCGAAGAATTGAAATATTGAAAAATCCCAAAACTGAAATATCTAAAAACTGAAAATCGAAAAATCAAAAAAGTGAAGTCGAAAAATAGAAACCTTAAAAAATCGAAAAATCGAAAAATCAAAAACCTGAAAAATCCAAAAATAAAGAATTGAAGAACAGGAAAATCGAAACACTCGAAGGTCAAGAAATGAGAAAATCAAAACATCGATTAATTGAAAAATCGAAAAATTGAGAGTTTATCAAAGTCAAATTTGAAAAATTAAAAAATCGAAAATTTGACAAAGTGACAATTGAAAAACAGAAAATCTAAAACCGGGAAGTCGAAAAATCTAAAATTTAAAAAATTAAAAAATCTAAAATTGAAAAATCGAGAAAGTAAAATAATCGACTTATCGAAAAATCCAGGAGTCAAAAATTGAAAAATCCAAGCACCGAAACATTGAAAAATCCCAAAACTGAGATATCGAAAAACTAAAAAATGAAAGAAAAAGTGAGAAATGGAAAATCTAAAAAATCCGAACACTGAGAACCTAAAAAGTCGAAAAATTGAGCAATCGAAAAATCCAGAAAGTGAAGTCGAAAAATCGAAACCTTAAAAAAACTAAAAAATGAAAAATCGAAAAATTAAAGGATTGAAGAACAGCAATATCGAAACCCTCGAAAGTCAAGAAATGGGAAAATCAAAACATTGATTAACTGAAAAACCGAAAAATTAACAGTTTAAATGTCAAATTTGAAAAACTGAAAAATCGAAAATTTGAAAAAACGACAATTGAAAAACAGAAAATCTAAAACCGAAAAGTCGAAAAATCGAAAGATTAAGAAATCGAAACAGTTGAAAAATTCGAAAACTTGCAAAATTCAAATATCGAAGAACTGTACAAAGAAGAAAAAAATCGAGAAATCGAAAACTCTAAAATTTAAAAAATTAAAAAATCCAGGAGTCAAAAATCGAAACATTGAAAAATCCTGAGATATCGGAAAATTGAAAAATGAAAGACAAACTGAAAAATCCGAAAACTGAAATATCGTTTTGGAAACACTGTGTTTTATTTTGAATGAATTTTTTTTTAATGTTTTTAGTGACAATTTTTGTGGTTGTTTTCGATACACTGTATGATATTAACAGTGAGAAAAAAAAAGTGGAAAATTCGAAAAATCGAGAAATCTAATAATCGAAAAATCGAAACATTGAAAAATCGAAATATCGAAGAATTGAAAAACGAAAAAATGTAAAATTTAAAAATCGAATAACGAAAAACCGATAAATCGAAACTCTCAAATTTAAAAAATCGGATAACTGAAAAATCGAAACATTGAAAAACTGGAAAATCGAAAACTCAAAAGATCAAAAAATCGTGGAGTCGAAAAGTCGAACAATTGAAAAACCGAAATAGAGTTTATGAAAGTCAAATTTGAAAAATTAAAAAATCGAAAATTTGAGAAAATGACAATTGAAAAACTGAAAATCTAAAACCGGGAAGTTGAAAAATCAAAAAAACATCGAAACATTTGAAAAATTCAAATATCGAAGAACTGAACTGAAAAATCCAAAATTTAAAAAATTAAAAAATCTAAAATTGAAAAATCGAAAAAGGAAAATAATGGACACATCGAAAAGCCCAGGAGTCAAAAATCGAAAAGTCGAAGAATGGAAATATTGAAAAATTCCAAAACTGAGATAGATATCGAAAAACTGAAAAATGGAAGACCTGAAAAATCCGAAAACTGAAATATTCAAAAACTCAGAATCTAAAAAGTCGAAAAATTGAGCAATCGAAAAATCCAAAAAGTGAAGTCAAAAACTCGAAACCTTAAAAAAACTTAAAAATGAAAAATCGAATAATTAAAGAATTGAAGAACAGGAATATCGAAACCCTCGAAAGTCAAGAAGTAGGAAAATCAAAACATCGATTAATTGAAAAATCGAAAAATTGGCAGTTTAAATGTCAAATTCGAAAAATTGAAAAATCGAAAATTTGAAAAAACGACAATTGAAAAATAGAAAATATAAAACCGGGAGTCGAAAAATCGAAAGATTAAGAAATCGAAACATTTGAAAAATTGAAATATGGAAGAGCTGAAATGAAAAATCAAGAAATCGAAAAATCCAAAATTTTAAATATTGAAAAATTAAAATACCAAAAAATTGAGAAATCTAAAATTTAAAAATCGAAAAAGTAAAAAGTCGACACATCGGAAAATCCAGAAGTCAAAAATGGAAAAGTCGAAGAACAGAAATATTGAAAAATCCCAAAACTGAGAATCTAAAGAATCGAAAAATTGAGAAATCGAAAAATCAAAAAAGTGAAGTCGAAATATCGAAACATTAAAAAAATCGAAAAATTAAAAAATCAAAAGCCTGCAAAATCGTAAGATCAAAGTAAAAATAAGTAAACTGAAAAATCCGAAAACTGAAATATCGTTTTGGAAACACTGTGTTTTATTTTGAATGAATTTTTTTTTAATGTTTTTAGTGACAATTTTTGTGGTTGTTTTCGATACACTGTATGATATTAACAGTGAGAAAAAAGATAAACAATTAAAATAATGGAAAATTCGGAAAATCGAAATATCGAAGAACTGAAAAACGAAAAAATGTAAAATTTAAAAATCGAATAACGAAAAATCGAGAAATCGAAACTCCCAAATTAAAAAAATCGGATAACTGAAAAATCGAAACATTGAAAAACTGGAAAATCGAAAACTCAAAAGATCAAAAAATCGTGGAGTCGAAAAGTCGAACAATTGAAAAACCGAAATAGGTCAAAATCGAAAAATCGAAAAGTTAAAAATTGAACAATTTATAAATTGAGAAATTGACAATCAAAATATCGAAAAATCCAAATCTCGGTAAATCGAGAAACCAAAAAACTTAATAATTCGAAAAATTGAAAAATTGAGAGAGTGAAAGATCCAAAGAACGAGAAATCGAGAAACAAAAAGTTAAAAGTTGCAAATTGGAAAAGCGGAAAAATCAAAAAACGAAAAAATGGAAAACTGGAAAAACTGAGAAACCGAAATAGGCCAAAACAAAAAATTGAAAAACTGGTAAATCGAAAACCTGAACAATCAAATTTCGATAAATCGGGAATGAAAAATTAACAAATCGAAAAATTGAAAAACAAACATCTAAAACCAGGAAGTCGAAAAATAGAAAGATTAAGAAATACTGAAAAATTAAAACATCAAAAGATTAAAAAATCTAAAATTTAAAAATCCAAAAATTGAAAAATCGAAAAAGTAGAAAGGTAGACACACCGAAAGACCCAGAAGTCAAAAATAGAAAAGCCGAAGAATTGAAATATTGAAAAATCCTAAAACTGAAATATCTAAAAACTGAAAAATCGAAAAATCAAAAAGTGAAGTCGAAAAATAGAAACCTTAAAAAATCGAAAAATCGAAAAATCAAAAAATAAAAAATTGGAGAACAGGAAAATCGAAACACTCGAAGGTCAACAAATGGGAAAATCAAAACATCGATTAATTGAAAAATCGAAAAATTGAGTGTTTATGAAAGTCAAATTTGAAAAATTAAAAAATCGAAAATTTGACAAAATGACAATTGAAAAACTGAAAATCTAAAACCGGAAAGTTGAAAAATCAAAAAAACATCGAAGCATTTGAAAAATTCGAAAACTTGAAAAATTCAAATATCGAAGAACTGAACTGAAAAATCGAGGAATCGAAAAATCCAAAATTTAAAAAATTAAAAAATCTAAAATTGAAAAATATAGAAAGGAAAATAATGGACACATCGAAAAGTCCAGGAGTCAAAAATCGAAAAGTCGAAGAATGGAAATATTGAAAAATTCCAAAAAGTGAAGCCAAAAAATCGAAACCTTAAAAAAACTAAAAAATGAAAAATCGAATAATTAAAGAATTGAAGAACAGGAATATCGAAACCCTCGAAAGTCAAGAAATAGGAAAATCAAAACATCGATTAATTGAAAAATCGAAAAATTGACAGTTTAAATGTCAAATTTGAAAAATTGAAAAATCGAAAATTTGAAAAAACGACAATTGAAAAACAGAAAATATAAATCCGGGAGTCGAAAAATCGAAAGATTAAGAAATCGAAACATTTGAAAAATTGAAATATGGAAGAGCTGAAATGAAAAATCAAGAAATCGAAAAATCTAAAATTTTAAATATTGAAAAATTAAAATACCAAAAAATTGAGAAATCTAAAATTTAAAAATCGAAAAAGTTAAAAGTCGACACATCGGAAAATCCAGAAGTCAAAAATGGAAAAGTCGAAGAACAGAAATATTGAAAAATCCCAAAACTGAGAACCTAAAGAATCGAAAAATTGAGTAATCGAAAAATCAAAAAAGTGAAGTCGAAATATCGAAACCTTAAAAAAATCGAAAAATTGAAAAATCAAAAGCCTGCAAAATCGTAAGATCGAAAAATTGAAAATCCAAAGTAAAAATAAGTAAACTGAAATGTCCAAAAATTGAGAAATTAAAAAATTGAAAAATTGAGTAATCGAAAAAAAAAATCAACCAATTTGGCCTTGAGCAAGTTTAATATGGCTGTCTATAGGGAAACTATAGAATTCAATAAGCAATTTGGAAGCCTATTCAAACAGGTTTTATACTGACTACAACATCAATTTTAGACCTGCAAAACTTGTTTTTGAACGAAAAAAAATACTGATATTTCTTAACATCGAGATTTTCTCAAGATTGTTTAGAAAATGTATTTTCGAAAATTTGGTCAAGACATCCGGTACCTCCGTCCATTCAATTTAAATATGACTTAAAACTTTTATCAGTTTCTCAATATTTGGACGTTTTAAGTAACTCAAGTTACGAAACCAACAAAACAACACTTTGGTTGTTTTTGTAGTTATACTAACAATAATAACATAAAAGAAAACGATGTTCCTAAAGGAAAAGAAAAATTTAGCTTTACCTAGAAATTGGAATTTGAAAAAAAAGAACTTTCTCTGAGAAAAAAAAAATGCTTTGTACAGTTGCACAGGTTACGTTGTTAAAAGCTTGATAAAAAATCAAAATTTTTGCAAAAATGTATTGTTGCTTTGGTCTCTAAGAAGAATTGTAACGAAAATTATGCAAAATTTGTGGCATTAAAAGAATATAAAACGGGTGCTTTACATTATGCTTCAGAGAACGCGTTCCAAATAGCAATTTTAGTAGAGAAAATATTTTGTAATTTGAGTGATTATTTAAAGAATAATAATTTTTGCACTGGTAATAATTTGGAACATGCTGCAACAGCAGAGTTTATATTAAAACTATTTAACTGACAAATTTCGAGATAAAAAATAATTAACTTCAATATTTTTTTATATTATGTAAATAAATTCAATAGTAGCCCCTATTTAAAATTTTCCTAGTAACGCCACTGACCTTTTGGCATTTAAAGCAGAATCATGAGCAGAATGACATCTGTCATTTTCACGAAACAAAAACAGTCCTTTACGAAACTAACCTCAAATTTTTTTAAAGCTGCAAAAATATCGTTTAAAATAATGTTTCGTCACGATTTTATGGAACAAATGATTATTTGTGCGACAACTCGCACTAACACAAACATCTATGGCAACAAATTTTGAGGTTATGTGAAATTTCAGTGTTTTAAGTTTTGGGTAAGAAATCGCAAAAACGTCACCCTAGATCCTAATACCAAATTCCAAACCAAGCGAATTTAAACTAAAGCTAAAATGTTGGATTTTGAAGACTCCAAGAAGCTTGCCCCCCATGCCACATCTCTCCTCAAGAACGTCCACAAATGCAAAGTTTGTCCATACTTGACAACATCAGTTTTTCTAATGGTGAACCACATGAAGCGTCACCGCTCATCAATAACTCCATTCAACTGCGAAACCAGCAACATTGAAACCTACTATTGCTCAAATTGTGATTTCCAGACCGAATTGACGCTTCATTTCAAACAACACATCGAAGAAAGTCATCGTGTTAAAAGACAAAAGCAGCAATTGTCCAATGTGGAATATATTTTCAAAAACTATATGTGTCCAAAGTGCAAGTTTGAAACACATTTTTTGATGAAGTGGCGTCAACACACCATGGAGTGTATGGGGAGAAAAAAGAAACGCGTGAAGCGAATTACGAAGATTCTTCTGAAACGGTTTGAGTGTGACCAGTGTGATTTTAAGTCAAAATATAAACGATCCCTGAATAACCACAAAATTTCCAAGCACTTGAAAGATGATGAGATTCTTTGGTATAAGTGTGAAGAGTGTTCATTTAGAAGTAAGCAACAAGAACATTTAAAAAAACATATTATGATGCAGCATTTGGATGATAAAGATGTTAAATGGTTCAAGTGCCAAGAGTGTCCGTACAAAACCAAGCGACAACACTTGCTAAAGCAACACATTATTATACACCATTCAAATGGACAGGATATTAAGTGCTATGAATGCCCACAGTGTCCGTACAAAACTTATTTAAAGTCGTATTTAACTAATCACGTGAGTTCGCAGCATTCAGATAAATGGTACGAGTGTAAAGTGTGCCCGCACAAAACGAAGCGCAGACAAGATTTAAAGCGCCACGTTAGTCGAAAACATGATCAGACAAAATAATTGAAAAACAAAAATATGTTAAAATGTCATGACGAGCAAATTTTGTTTCAATAAAGACAGAGTTTGAATTGTTGTTTTATATTGTTTTTAATGTTTACAAAAATAAACGAGACTTTCCTCATGTGGTACATATGATTTTTTTTACTTGTGCAACATTAAAATAATGACTAATGGAGCACAATTGAGTAATGGATCAGAACATACCACACTTGATGTGTATTGTGTGTTGCCTAACACTCATTTGATTCCTTAATCTGTAAGGTTGGTAAAATTCTAGTGAAATGAAGAAATCACTAGGTGAATTTAACTCAGGCATGATTAATAGAGGTAACATATTTTGAGAACCAGCAAAAAAAAAGTTTCTTTATTTGGAGACAAAAGTTATTCAAGGTTAAATTATTAATTCAGTAATGAATTACTTTTTAAAAGTAATTGTTCCAATCACTGGATTTCGTTCCATTGAACTCATTTAAAATGTAAATACGAATCTTCCAATTGAAATGATCGAGAATTTTATATCAACACATTAACAAGTTGCGAAATATAATTCTCTCGTGACCTTGTATGAACTTTGAACGACTAAAGGTCAACTCCCCTTTAATAAACGTCAATTAAATATTATACAAAATAATAAGTATAGAGTTAAGGTCATCGATACTTTTGCATAAAAATAAGTTTATTCTCTCAGGAACCACATTTTTCGTGATTAACATAAGTTTTAGTGGTAAGTAATGGGCTAAAAGTATGAAAAATTAGTAAAATTAAGCACGCGTCTTAGTTTTAAATTACGTGAAAAATTCAAATTATTCAAATGCACAGTTTGGTGGAAATATAATGATTTTAAAATTGGTTCTTTTGCTACTATGTTAAACTAAACAACGCATTCATTATCCCATGATTAATTACCATTTTAGTTAGCATGTACAAAGATATAGTTGTGGCTTTCTAATCGAAAAACATATGAATCTTTGACCGACGCTAACACGTGTAAATTTTATCCAATGTTTGTAAATTCATAGTTCAGGTTAGGATTTTAATCGTTAACTGGTACTAACACAATTTAACAAACATTAGACTTATTTAGATAAATACTTGCTAGGAGATTTTATGAAAGTCACGGGGTATCAAAAATTGTCAGTTTTCAAAACCTTACGTTTAAAATGTTCGCAGTTAATTTTAAATCCCTAGGGTTTTATTTTCACACAAAATTTAAAGAAATCTGGTGTTTTGTTGCTGGATGAACCTGAAAAAACCTTTTGAGCTTTCAGTGTTTTAGTTTTTACGAATTCGAAAAAGTCTTGAGTGCCGCAGTATTTGGGCACCCATGGTGTATTATTATTTTGGGAACCCATTTTTTTTGTAAATTGTTTAAAATAATTTTGGAGGACTTTGGTGTTCTGTTTTTTGGAACATTCTGACCTGACCTGTTTTTGAGCGATTTTCGGAATCTTGCGGTTCTAGGTATTCCTGTTTGGAAGGAATTTGAAACTGTTTTGGAGCCTCTAGTGTCTTTTCTTATAATAATTTAATTAAATTTTTTCGGATACGTCATTTAAGTCATGTCTCATTTGTCAAAATCAGTCTTATCTTAACAGGTACTCTTCTCGCCCACTTCTCACCTTGTCTTTTCTTAGAGAGTAGGTCATTTGCCAAAATCGCTCTTACTTTATCAGCTACTAGCTTATAAAGTTCTTAAAGGGTATTTCATCTGCCAAAGTCAGAGTTATCTTAGCCGGTACGAGCCCCGCCCACCCGCCCTCTCTTTTCTTAAAGGGTATGTCATCTGCAAAAGTTAGTGTTATCTTAGCTGGTACTAGCCCCGCCCACCCACCCTCTCTTTTCTTACAGGGTATGTTACCCGCCAAAGTCAGTGTTATCTTAGCTGGTACTAGCCCCGCCCACCCACCCTCTCTTTCCTTAATGGGTATGTCATTTGCCAAAATCAGTTTTATCTTAGCTAGTACTTGCTAAGATAAGACTGATTGTGACAAATTAAGAAAATAGAGGGTGGGCGGGGGAGTAGTACTTGTAAGACTGATTTTGGTAAATGACATACTCATTAAAAAAATAAAGGGTAGGTGGGTAGCGCTAACATTCGCTAAGATAAGACTGTTTGTGGTAAATGTTATACCTTCTAAGAAAACAGAGGGCGGGTGGGCGAGGTTGGTACTTGATAAGATGAGACTGATTTTGGTAAATGAAATACCCTCTAAGAAAAGAGAGGGTGGGTGGGCGGGGCTCGTATATGCTAAGATAAAACTAATTTTGGCAAATAACATATCCTCTAAGAAAAGAGAGGGTGGGTGGGTGGGGCTAATACCTGCTAAGATAAGACTGATTTTAGCAAATGACGTATCCTCTAAGAAATTTAATTAAATTTTTATAAGAAAAGACACTAGAGACCCCTAGGCACTTTCCAATTCTTTCTAAACAGGAATACCTAGAATCTCAAGATTGTTTTAAATAAAAAAAAAAAAAAAACTGTTCCAAAAGTAACTTAGGTCAGAATTTTCCAAAAATAGAGCACCAACGTCCCTAACATTGTTTTAAATGGTTTACAAAAAAAATCTCCATGGGTTCCCAAACTACAACATCATGGGTACACAAACACTGCGGCACTCTCTCTTTGATTAACTTCGGTTCCTGATGCTTTAGTACGCAGTGTGGCAATTCTCCACAACAGTTATTGTTGGTCGAAGATATTGACAGTGATTGGAACAATTACTTTTTGCATTTTGAAAAGTTTAATGAGGAGACAATTTTAGATATTTGTCTTTTCTAACATACAAAGGGCCAAGGAAAACGTGTTAAAATGATACATTTGTACACATGGTGTAAATTTGTTTTATTGTTTGTAAATTCACAGTTCATGGTAGGAATTTAATCGTTAACTAGTTCTAACGCAATTTAACAGCCAGGAATTTGTTGAGATAAGCACATGCTAGGAGATTTCATGAAATTCACTTAGTCAGGACTCGTTCTTTCTTTATCTAATTATGAATAGCGTTTTTGGATGCTTATATTTATGTGTTACATTATAATACTTCTTGATTTTTTATACAAGATTGCTAATAGTTTAGTGAAATTTTTCCAATGGTCCCCCCTTCTTCAAATTTCGGCCAATTTTTGACATTTTCGAAACTTGAATAAATACATTTTCTTGTAGATTTTGAGCTGTAGAACTCACTTCCGGCCTCGTTTCTTTGATAAATACAACCGTTTTTCCATAATCGTCCATTGAAATACCGAAATTTTTAGAAATCTTCAAAAATTCGCATTATTCGATGTTTGCAGTAAGATAAATGCAGTTAAGCCTATCTTTAAACTTTGATCCATTTTGAGGGAAAGGATCTTGATGGGGATTTTAGTTCGAGGGTTGGCAGGGACTTAGTAGAGGGAGGTGAAAGCGTCACTTTTGGTGTGTTTGTTGTGAGTGTAACCACGTGGTGAGTTAGCCTGGTTGGTTAGTTGGTTTGGCATTAATAATAAGAAGAAAGGCTTTGTTTATCGAAATTAATCATAACGATGACGACGGCACAGTTTCTCTAATTTTTCTAATTCTTGCGGCTTTCTAATCGGAAAACATGTGAATTTTTGACCGACGCTAACACATGTAAATTTTATTCATTGTTTTAAATTCACACTTCAGGTTAGGATTTTAATCGTCAACTGGTGCTTACACAATTTAACAGATATTAGATTTATTTAGATAAATACTTACTAGGAAATTTTATGAAAGTCACGGGGTATCAAAAATTGTCATTTTTCAAAACCTTACGTTTAAAATGTTCGCAGTTAATTTTAGATCCCTGGGGTTTTATTTTCACACAAAATTTAAAGAAATCTGGTGTTTTGTTGCTGGATGAACCTGAAAAAACCTATTTGAGCTTTCAGTGTTTTATTTTTTAAACGAATACTAAAAAGTCTTGACTGCCGCAGTGTTTGGGTACCCATGGTGTATTATTGTTTTGGGAAGCCATAAAGTTTTTTTTTGTAAATTGTTTAAAATAATTTTGGAGGACTTTGGTGTTCTGTTTTTTGGAAAATTCTAACCTGACCTGTTTTTGAGTCGATTTTGGGACTCCGTTTTTTTTGAAAAATTTAAAACAAATACTTGCTAAGATAAAACTGATTTTGGCAAATCACATACCTTCCAAGAAAATAGAGGGTGGGTGGGCGGGGCTAGTATTTGATAAGATAAAACTGATTTTGGCACATTTAACATTTTTGGACCATTTTTCAACCATTTTCGAAAACTAGTTGAAGGCATTAAAATTTTCTTGTAGATTCAGAGAAATGTTTAAAATTTGTTTATTTGAGATAATAGAAAAATCAGGACAGGTCAGGTCACGTTAGGTCAAGTCACGTCAGATATGTGAAATAAGAAATAAATTTTGTAGTAAATAGTATAACAAAAAAAAAAAAATACGATTGACGCTTTTTTTACTTTTTTCGCCTCCTTTTTCCACTCCCACTCAACAGATCATAATTAGCCGCGCCCACCCGCCCTGTCTCTATTTTAGTGATTGATTTTATCCAGTCTAAATGAAATGGATGATCTTATATTGAACAGAAATAAAATTAGTCGTTAGAATGAAAAGAGGGGGGTGGGTGGGGCTAGTAGTTACTAAGATAAGATTGATTTTGGCAAATCAAATACCTTCCAAGAAAATAAAGGGTGGGGGGGCGGGGCTAGTATTTGATAAGATAAAACTGATTTTGGCACTTTTAACATCTTGCGGTTCTGTTTGGAAAAAATTTGAAAGTGCTTTGGAGCCTCTACTGTCTTTTCTTATAATAATTTAGTTAAATTTTTTCGGATACGTCATTTAAGTCATGTCTCATTTGCCAAAATCAGTCTTATCTTAACAGGTACTCGCTCCGCCCACTTCTCACCTTGTCTTTTCTTAGAGAGTAGGTCATTTGCCAAAATCGCTCTTATTTTATCAGCTACTAGCCCCGCCCACCCACTCTCTTTTCTTAAAGGGTATGTCATCTGCCAAAGTCAGTGTTATCTTAGCTGGTACTAGTCCCGCCCACCCACCCTCTCCTTTCTTAAAGGGTATGGCATCTGCCAAAGTCAGTGTTATCTTAGCTGGTACGAGCTAAGATAAGACTGATTGTGACAAATTAAGAAAATAGAGGGCGGGCCGGAGGTGGTAGTACTTGTAAGACTAATTTTGGTAAATGACATACTCTTTAAAAAAATAAAGGGTAGGTGGGTAGCGCTGGCATTCGCTAAGATAAGTCTGTTAGTGGTGAATGATATACCTTCTAAGAAAATAGAGGGAAGGTGGGTGGTTGGGGCTGGTACTTGATAAGATAAGACTGACTTTGGTAAATGACATATCCTCTAAGAAAATAAAGGACGCTAGTAATTGCTAACATAAGACTGATTTTGGAAAATGAGATACCCTCTAAGAAAAGAGAGGGTGGGTGGGCGGGGCTAGTACCTGATAAGATAAAACTAATTTTGGCAAATAACATATCCTCTAAGAAAAGAGAGGGTGGGTGGGTGGGGCTAATACCTGCTAAGATAAAACTGATTTTAGCAAATGACTTATCCTCTAAGAAATGTAATTATATTTTTGTAAGAAAAAACACTAGAGGCCCCTAAGCACTTTCAAATTCTTTCCAAGCAGGAATACCTAGAACCCCAAGATTGTTTTAAATTAAAAAAAAAAAAAACAAAAAAACTGGGTTCCAAAATTAACTCAAGTCAGATTTTTCCAAAAATAGAGCACCAACGTCCCCAATATTGTTTTAAGTGGTTTACAAAAAAAAATCTCCATGGGCTCCCAAAATAATACACCATGGGTACGCAAACAGTGTGGCACTCTCTCTTTGATTGACTTTGGTTCCGGATGCTTTAGTACGCAGTATGGCAATTCTCTACAGTTATTGTTGGTCGAAGATATTGACAGTAATTGGAACAATTACTTTTTGTATTTTGAAAAGTTTGATGAGGAGACAATTTTAGGTATTTATTTTTTTTAGCATACGAAGGGTCAAGAAAAACGTGTTAAAATGGCGCATTTGTTACACATGGTGCAAATTTGTTTTATTGTTTGTAAATTCATAGTTCGTGTTAGGAGTTTAATCGTTAACTAGTTCTAACGCAATTTAACAGTCAGGAATTTGTTGAGATAAGCACATGCTAGGAGATTTCATGAAATTCACTTAGTCAGGACTCGTTCTTTCTTTATCTAATTATGAATAACGTTTCTGGGCTTATACTTAAGTGTTACATTATAACACTTCTTAATTTTTCACACAAGATTGCTAATAGTTCATTTACGACAGTCAAAATTAATCTAACGTTATCCCACCCTGGGAAAAGGACCGTGAAAGTACGATAGAATTCACAATATCGTGAACTGAGGTACTGGGGGATTAAAAATTTCTCCCCTTAGGCAGTTATTATCATCATATTATCATCACATCACCGAGATATATTTTCTCGTAACGTTGAAAATTACATCACCGAGGAGCTTTCCTCGCAACGTCTGGTACATTTTGTGTTGATTATTTTTCATGTGTTTTGTTTGAATCGTTGATAAAGCGTGGCATAATTTAACATAATGTAAATTCTTTGTTTGAATCGTTGATAAAGTGTGGCATAATTTAACATCAGGTAAATTCTTTGTTCTGGTAACGATCATGTTGAAACAGTATTTTCAAACCGAGAACATGTTTGAACTGTAAAATCTTATTGAACAAATTAACAACATTGTGGATCATGTGGGACGTGCGTTTTATTCCTTTGATTTATTATTTTCACAGAGCCACAGGATTGATCACATTTCAGGGAAACATATTTTTGATGCATTTTTTTGAATGACGCCATTTTGAATCCCCAGAATGCCTATATTTTTTTGTGTTTGTTTGGGGGAATGGGTAACAATGGCACAAGTTTTATTTCACACCAGTTCTTGTTTTTATAAATCATTGCTAGTTTTTTGTTTTGTAAATATTTTGTTGATTAATGCTTCCATCATATAAATTGTCTGATATCCAGTCTTAATCTCAGACAAGAATTCTTTGATGTTTAACACGTGGGGGAAGCGGAGTGCGCGGTTCTTTGTCGAGCTGGCGGTCGCGCCATCTGCACAAATGATGTAGGTCTTGAATCTTTCCTTTGTGGGGACGAACCAAGTATAATAATCCCAACAGGTCAGGCCTGTTAGATTGAACATTCTATGCTAAAAATGGAAGTCATTGTGACACACACATTAAAATGTTCTGGGAGTTAAAAAGGATGAAATCTGGGTTGATGTAAAGAACGCTTGGTCACCACATGATATATTTCCATGTTTAACATTACATTCTCTTTATATTTTTAAAAACAATTATCTACAACAAATTTACTAAAATATAAATATATGAACTACTTTAAATTATCACAAAAGAATCGACATCGGCCACCAACACAACAAACAAGTGGAAACTAATAACTACCAGAAAGAATTTTATCGTGTAGTATCTGCAGGAAAAAACAGAAAGAAACCTCCTCCCGCTCCACTTTCGAAGTTAAGTACAGATAAAACACCCAAAAATATATCTAACCTCCGTTCTTTTTTACAATATTGATATAATAGTACACTTACACGATATACCCTTCTCAAAAATTTTGATGATCTTAGCAAAATATATATTTTATTATCGTTATCGTAATATTTTAGACATGTATACTAAAGCCTCCTCGAAAAGCTTCCGTTTACACCTAGAAACGAAAAGAAGTAAAAGTGTCGAGTCTTGTTCGCACCGTCCAGTGACTTGTGCTGTATCTTACACGCAACAATTAACAACGAATCACATAACATAAAGCACAAATCATTTGATTTGCATGGATTTTATTGAAGGAAAGGAAACAGTATTCGAAGCTCTTTGGTTAATAGATGGGTATATCAGGCATCTCGCACTGCCCTATCGTAACCCTGTACATGGCCATCTCCGAAATGCCGTGGTAGTGCACGAAGGCGCCCCCCAGCACGAAAACGTGGAAAATCTGGTGCGAGTGCAGCCAGATGTCGAACTTGCCGGGGAACCAGCGCTCGGGCACCCTCAGCGCGTACAGCATGGCCCCCATGATGTACAGCAGCCCCATCAGGATGAGCCACCCGAGCGACTTCTGCGAGACCTTGTTGAACCAGCCCTCGACGATCCCGTAGTGGATCGCCGGGACGATGCCGCTCAGCCCGAACGTCATGAAGACGGCCGCCCGGAACGGCCTCCATCCCGACTCCGAGAACTTGTCCCACAGGCTGACCATGATGCTGGTGATGCCCAGCGCGCATACCACGGACAGGTAGACCACCTTGGGCCGGAAGTGGCAGTAGAAGCCGTAATATACCCACGGTACGAACGAGCCCATTATCAGCATGGCGATGCCGCAGTAGTCCAGTTTGGAGAAGAGCTTGCCGATGAACTGAGAGTGACAGTTGACGGTGTGGAACATGAAGGACATGCCGAGGCAGATTATCGCTCCGGCGAAGAACGCGCCGAAGACGATCTTCTCCTGTAGTTCGATCTCGATTGTTGGTCGCATCAAGAAGAAAACCGCGATTGCTGGAAGAAGATCGATTATCAATAACGTTGATCGGGGGGTTTATGAATATTTTAAGAGGGCGAAGCGGATTTACGTGTTCCTAAAATTAGAGGTTAATATCTTCGTGGTAATTAATTATTCAGTGATTCTAAGTATGGATAAATTGGAAACGCGATGACTCAAAAAGAAACACACACAAGTAAATACAATCACGATATTGTTCTGAAGTTATTTAGGTAGAACTTGCCGCGTTCCTAAAGCACAATCTAAGGAAACTAATTTTTAGATTAACCATAAACGCGAGTTAAGTCAAGTCAGCTTAGGTTAGATCAAGTCATAAGCAACAAGCATAAATATCGACCAAAAATTGTTTAGGTATAGGATCTAAAGGCAAAAACGTAGTTATTCTCAGTTTCTCAGTACATGCTTAATTCGACTGTTTATGATTTTAAATAGCTGCCATCATTTTCTACACTGTAGCTTTCTGTCAGTACTTATGCATTGTTAAAGATAGTTCTTGACGTTTAAATCAACATGATTTATTGCTATTCGTCTCAAAAAAAGATTAGGAATTACAACTACAAGGGCTTATATTTTGGCCTTTTTTCTTAATATGTGTAGTCTTCTTTTCACAACAAGAAAGGTTAAAACATGTTTAAAATGGTAAAGTTTTGTGGGAAAGTATCAATTTTGCAATTAGGCTCCGCCCCTCGGTCTGACAACGAATGAAAAAAATCATCAGAATTGCGATAGGGTGGGCGGGCGGGGTTCATATTGTGCTTTTTTTTTTCTTAATATACATAGTCATCTTTTCACAACAAGAAACTTAAAAATGGTTAAAACAGTACATTTTTGCAAGGAAATGGGGCGGAACCTAATTGCAAAATCGATATTTTCTTATACAAATTTTCCAATTTAAACATGTTTTAAGTTTCTTGTTGTGAAAAGCAGTCTACACATATTAAAACAAAAGGGCAAAATGTCTGCCCGCCCACCCCCCCTGTCTCAATTGTGATGATTTTTTTTTATTCGCCGAGAACCAAGAGGGCGACGCTTAACTGCAAATACTTATTTCTTTACACGAAATTAAAAACATGATTTTGAGTTTCGTGTTGTTCAAACAATACTATGTATATTAAGAAAAAAAGGCAAAATATAAACCCCGCCCACCCACCCCATCTCAATTGTGATTTTTTTTATTCTTAGACACTTAAAACATGTTTAAAATGGTAAATTTTTGTAAGAAAACATGGATTTTGCAATTAGGCTCCGCCCCTAGGTCTGCTAACGAATGAAAACTTCATTACTATTTAGATCGGAGCAGGTTATGGGTGGGGCTTAATCTTTGGCTTTAATTTTTTCTTAATATATGTACACGGTGTTCTTTGAATAACACGATACTCAAAAACATGTGTTACACAGTAATTTCTTGTCGAGAAATAACAAGGATTTTGCGATTAAATTCCGCTCCTTTGGCTTTCGATGATAAAAAAAATCATTACAACTGAGATAGGGCGGGTGGGCGGGGCTTATATTTTGTCTTTTTCTCTTAACATGCGTAGTCGTCTTTTCAGAACAAGGACCTTAAAACATGTTTGAAACGGTAAATTCTTGTAGACAAATATGGATCTTGCAATTAAACTCCGCCTCTCGATCTGACAACGAATTAGAAATTCATCACAATTGTGAATTGCGATGGGGGCGGGTATGGGTGGGGCCTAATCTTTAGCTTTATTTTTTCTTAATATATAGATATACATAGTATTCTTTGAATAACACGATACTCAAAAACATGTTTTTAATTTCTCGTACAGAAATAAGGACTTTGTAGTTAAGCTCCGCCCCCTTCGTTCACGACGAATAAAAAAATCATCACAATTGAGATAGGGCGGGTGGGCGGGGCTTATATTTTGCCTTTTTTCTTAATATGTATAGTCATTTTTCCACAACAAGAAACTTAAAACATGTTTAAAATGGTAAATTTGTATAGAGAAATATCGATTTTGCAATTACGCTCCGCCTCTCGGTTCACGGCGAATAAAAAATCATCAGAATTGCGATAGGGTGGGCGGGCGGAGCTCATATTTTGCTTGTTTTTTCTTAATATACATAGCCATTTTTCACAACAAGTAACTTAAAAGCTGGTTAAAATAGTACATTTTTGCAAGGAAATGGGGCGGAGCCTAATTGCAAAATCGATATTTCCTTATACAAATTTTCCATTTTAAACATGTTTTAAGTTTCTTGTTGCGAAAAGCAGTCTACACATATTAAAACAAAAAGGCAAAATGTCTGCCCGCCCACCCGCCCTGTCTCAATTGTGACGACTTTTTTTATTCGCCGAGAACCAAGAGGGCGGAGCTTGACTGCAAATTCTTATTTCTTTACAAGAAATTAAAAACATGTTTTCAAGTAACATGTTGTTCAAAGAATACTATGTGTATTACGAAAAAAAGGCAAAATATAAAACTCGCCCACCCACCCCATCTGATTTGTGATTTTTTTGTATTCTTAGAAACTTAAAACATGTTTAAAATTTGTAAGGAAACATGGATTTTGCAATTAGGCTCCGCCCCTAGGTCTGTTAACGAATGAAAACTTCATTACTATTTAGAACAGGGCAGGTTATGGGTGGGGCTTAATCTTTGGCTCTAGTTTTTTCTTAATATCTACATATACATAGTATTCTTTGAACACCACGATACTCAAAAACATGTTTTTAATTTCTCGTAAAGAAATAAGGGTTTTGCAGTTAAGCTCCGCCCCATTCGCTCACGACGAATAAAAAAAATCATCACAATTGAGAGAGGGCGGGTGGGCGGGGCTTATATTTTGCCTTTTTTTTCTTAATATGTATAGTCATTTTTCCACAACAAGAAACTTAAAACATGTTTAAAATGGTAAATTTGCATAGGAAAATATCGATTTTGCAATTACGCTCCGCCTCTCGGTTCACGGCGAATAAAAAAATCATCAGAATTGCGATAGGGTGGGTGTGTGGGGCTTATATTTTGCCATTTTTCTTAATATACATAGCCATCTTTTCACAACAAGAAACTTAAAAGATGGTTAAAATAGTACATTTTTGCAAGAAAATGGGGCGGAGCCTAGTTGCAAAATCGATATTTCCTTACATAAATTTTCCACTTTGAACATGTTTTAAGTTTCTTGTTGTGAAAAGGAGTGTACACATATTAAAACAAAAAGGCAAAATGTCTGCCCGCCCACCCGCCCTGTCTCAATTGTGATGATTTTTTTTATTCACCGAGAACTAAGAGGGCGACGCTTAACTGCAAATACTTATTTCTTTACACGAAATTAAAAACATGATTTTGAGTTTCGTGTTGTTTTTTTCTTAATATACCATGTATATTAAGAAAAAAAGGCAAAATATAAACTCCGCCCACCCACCCCATCTCATTTGTGATTTTTGTATTCTTAGAAACTTAAAACATGTTTAAAATGGTAAATTTTTTTAAGGAAACATGGATTTTGCAAATAGGCTCCGCCCCTATGTCTGCTAACGAATGAAAACTTCATTACTATTTAGAACAGGGCAGGTTATGGGTGGGGCTTAATGTTTGGCTTTAATTTTTTCTTAATATATGTACACGGTGTGCTTTAAATAATACGATACTCAAAAACATGTATTACTTGGTAGTTTCTTCTAGAAAAATAATACGGATTTTGCAATTAAATGTCGCTCCTATGGCTCTCGACGATTAGAAAAAAAAGATCATCACAATTGAGATAGGGCGGGTTGGGTGGGCGGGGCTTATATTTTGTGTTTTTCTCTTAACATGCGTAGTCGTCTATTCAAAACAACTTAAAACATGTTTAAAATGGTAAATTTTTGTAGACAAATATGGATCTTGCAATTAAGCTCCGCGTCCCGATCGGACAACGAATTAAAAATTCATCACAATTGAGAATTGAGATTGGGGCGGGTATGGGTGGGGTCTAATCTTTGGTTTTATTTTTTCCTTAATATACATAGTATTCTTTGAACAACACAATACTCAAAAGCTTGTTTTTAATTTCTTGTAGAGAAATAAAGATTTTGCAGTTAAGCTCCGCCCCTTTGGCTCACGACAAATAAAAAAAAATCATCACAAGTGAGATGGGGCGGGTGGGCGGGGTTACATTTTGTTTTTTTATTTCTAGGTGTAGACTTATTTCGACAATAAGAAACTTAAAATATGTTTCAAACTTAAATTGAAAAATGTTATACAATTTTGATTTTTTTCCCAAAAATATGGACGTCAAGTTTAAAAACTCAACACAGATTCATAAATCACATGCAGGAGCATTTTATTTTATACAATTTCAAGAACGCTCACTTTTTTTTATCATTTTTGCTAAAACCTTAAAACGTTCGATTTTTCAATGTCAAAGTTAAATTGTAAAATACAATTTTGAATTTTTTTCCAAAAATTTGGATCTGTAGGGTAAAAATTTGACACGAATTCATAAATCACACGTGCAGATGTCATTCTATAAAATTTTAAAAAATTGTAATATGACGTCATCAGTTTTTTCTATATTTGAAGAAATTTGTATGAAATTCAACACGGATTCATAAACCACATGTGCAATAATCTATTTTATAAAATTTAAATATGTACTAATGTAAATTTTGGATATGACGTCATCCTATTGTTGATGTGGATGATCGGAGATTAACTGTTTAATAAAAATCCGATAGACGACGGACTGAAACGGGAGACCTATTTTTTCGTACTCTAGAGGGCATGAAACGTCGAGAAAATATAAAAGTAGCCAGTCGTTCAATGAACTCGATTGCAATATTTATTTAACTTACGCTTTGGAAGTAAAAAATATGTCAAGTGTCGATTTACGAAGCAAAATTTTGCGATAACGTTATCGAGTTTTTGGTGGGGATAAATAAATAAATTCTGATTAACGATTTACCATGCTCTCGATAATTTTAAAATGTTTGTAAGATTTCAGAGCAATCGGTTTTGGAGTTTCAAAGTTACATTGTAAAATGTTACGATTTTAATTTTTTTTTCAAAAATCTGGATGTTTAATAATATTACATCATTAATAAACCACAGGTATAGAAGTACAAAAAAGAAAAAAGACATAAAGACGACAAAGAAGGGACAAAAAAAGGCGATAAATAAAGACAAAAAACAAAGAGACAAAAAAGGAAAAGGTGACCGGAAAAAAACGAAAAAGGTCATTAAAACAGTGGATAAAATGTGACAAAAAAGCTAAAAAAGACGCAAAATCGAAGAAAGACAAAAATGCCACTTTAAAAAGAGAGAGAGACAAAAAAAGGTGGAAAAAGGACATCCGGCAAAAGCATGTAATGACGTCATCAAATTTTTGGAGCCAATAAACAAACGTTTTTGGCGATTTCAAAGTTAAATTAATTGTTATATAATAATAAGAGCAGCGATAAAAAATGCATAAAAAAAGGCGCAAAAAAACGAAGTTAAAGAAGTAAAAAATGCGGAAAAACCGAAGAAAAGGGTAAAAATACTATTAAAAATGAGAAAAAAGGGCCACAAAATTTGCGATTAAATACAAGATTGCAATATTTTGAGATGCCGTCATCAAAGAGCTTAAAATTCTGAAAATAACAGATGTTCAATTAAAAAGTCATCAAGTTGACGTTACTTTTTAGATAGACGAAAACGCATGTGTTTTATTAATCCATACTGTTTTATATAACTGAAATTTCCGCGTTGTCAGCCGTCATCGATTAAATTTTAGCTTAATTGTGGACATACTTCACAATGTTTCCAAAAAAGGCCAACTTGATCATCTAATAAAACCACCCACATACTCTGGAGGTTATGAAACATCTAAAAAACATGAAATTCGTCATTCACCGGAGCAAAATTGGATTCTACAACATACCGAGAAATATTGCGAAATATTGGAAAATGTCTGATTTAAGTATATAGACATCAACTGTTTTGTTATAGCAATAAATTGAAATTTTTTAAATCGATTTTTAATCAACGAATTGTTTTCTTCTATAAATATCTGTCATGCGTGTTAAAATTTGTTTTTTTTTTGGAGGAGATATTTCACCGGAAAATCAGTTATAATTAACCTTTGTTTCTGAGGTTGGATTATTGATCTTTAGTTTGAAGAATACGGTTTTCAATTATCGTTTTTCGGTAAGGCGTAAATTTATCTCTTGAATAAAAATGTAATCAAGTGATTCTTTTGTTTCAATATCAGGAATTATTATATATCAAGATAAGATTCGAAGCACGAACTTTATAGCCATGCACTTTAAGTTTACGAAAAAATAACTCATGATCATAATAGTCCACAATTTTTTTAAAAGGTCTGTTCCGTACCTAAAATAAATAGATACAAAACACATAGATTTATCTCTATTTTTGCCGAATCTTCCCGGATACACAAAAGTATCTTGATTATTATGTGAACGGAGTGGCAGAACCGCAAATAAGTTGTTAATTTGGACCAGATACAAAGATCTATTGGCGCTTATTTTTGTGCTACTTTTAGAACTTAAAAAGCAACAAAAGGTCAATTAAATTCAAATTAAAAAAAAAATACGATTTTATTATTTCAATGTGGGAAATACAGATTTCATTGGACTAGATAATATGACAGCTGTAGACGTGGACTGCGGTACTAATTGGACTCATGGATCGTTCATTCGGCGATAACAAGTACATGAAAAGCAACTCCGACTAATATTGTAGCGTGTATGTATTAACTTTGCATTTTCTTTATCGAACCACTTCCGCTTTAGAAACCCGTAAACAATTTAAGTTAATTAAAGTCAAGCTATCTCAAATATTTAATTTTCTATTCGTCAACAGAATCACCAATTGAATCTATTCAATATTCGCATTGTTTCATGGTTTACTTAATCATCTATTTATAGCACCAAAGGTTTCTATTGTCTGTACGATTGTGAGCAGCAACATAATACATACCCACAACCACAGTTATCACAGATACTATCATTTGCATTTTTTTGATATACTTTACTGATAAAGAAAACGATTCTGACCCACATCTGTCACGTTTTCACAACTTGGATACAAAGCAAATAATTTTTTAAATTCATTGAAATTTCCTCTACCTTAGCATTAGATTTTAAAACACCACGCTAGTATTTGGAGTTATTTTCAACCGATCCCTGAACCCGAGGGTCACCCGACAGCCCGGGATATCCCATTAAATTTTTAATCTCAAAAGTCCAAAGTCCGAACCCTCATCTCTAATCTCCCGTTTTCGCAAATCCGTGTTATGTTGACTTTATCACTCAAACTGGTCCCTTGTAAACTAAATTATCAGCGGCGACAAAAATTTCGATAAGGCTAATTCCTGCAATAGCGCTCCCTTATCGCCAATTACAAAGTGACAAGTCCACAACTGAGGTCCAACAAACACGCTACTTATCGACTTATCGCTCGTGCTGTGCACAAGTGACACACATTTAACATCTACACCTACCTATGAAAGCCACGCATCCGAGTAAATGCGTCCATATGTTCGCCGTTTCGGTGTGTATTCTGAAAATACTCTTGAAACAGGCCCGAAAGCTGGGCAGTGGCGGCCGGTGCCCGAATATGAGGAAATCGTTGTCCTGCAGCCATGCCGGCAAGTTACGGAAATGGCAGACCGACCAACCGGCTTGGATCATTTTTCGGACGACGTGCTCGGCCTGCGAGGCCGCATTGTGGGCCAAAGCTGTGATGTCCAGCTCGTCACCTGCAAGGTGCAAGGAAAACAGTCTCTAGTTTTCTTAATTAGGGAAGTTGGGGGAAAAATTGGGGGAGTTGACTGGAGTCGCAGTTGGTTTAGAGAAAAGGGGTCACATCTATACAAATAAATAAAGGATTTATTGAGTTTTGATTGAATTGAGTGCATTTGTGCACTTAGTTTGGTTAGGTTATGTTCCGGTTGAACACAAAACTTTTTCGATAATATAATATTTTCCGTGTTGAACGAGATTTACTATTCTGGATTATTCTTTTAGTAATTCCTCGTAATTCGAGGGAGTTAAGATTGTCTTCAGTTTCACACATTGTTAATAATAATTTATTATTGTGAAATTTTAAACCTCAAATGACATTTATCGTACCAACCGCCACAAAATTCCCCAAAATTTAAAAAATTCCAATTTTTATTTAAAAATGGAAAACAAAGTACGAAGTACAAAAAATAGTGTCAAATACACGCGTCATAGGAAACTCGTCTGACAATTCGTTTACTAATTTTGGGATATGTACTTTAAAATAATGTCTTATGAAACTTGTTTTTTCAAATATACTAATTTCGTACACAGAACGAGATTTATTCGGCAATAAATTATAGATGCTATTTTCGACAATTTCCTGTAATTCCGCGGGCGTAAGATTGTCTTGCTTCACACATCGTTAATAAAATCATTTATTATTGCGAACATTTAAACTTCAAATGTTATAATCTGACATTTGTGGTACCAACCACAACAAAAAAATATCCCAAAATTTCTAAAAATCCTATTTTTATTTAAACATACAAAAAAAGGCCAGAAGTAGGAAAAATAGTATCAAATACAAGCGTCATAAGGAATTCAGTTCTGATAGAATTTTCTTGAGCTTCTATGGCCAAACCTGATTCAAATGCTTGATGCTATGTCACTTCTAAGCGCTCAAGAAAGTTTGGTTATGACATTTTAATATAATCAATGATCAATTTTGACGCAAATTAAACGTCACTGTCAACGACGTCAGTTTGACAACAGCAAGTTGGGTAGTGACAAGTCTACCAATTTCCAGAAAAAATCATTGTGGCCAACTGAAACATCACTTGTTGATGACGCTGTATTTCGTACGAAGAACAAGATTTATTCACGAATTTCCCGTATTTTAAACTTCAAATATTGTAATCTGACATTTGTGGTACCAACCACAAAATTTTTCAAAATTGTAAAAATCTCAATTTTTTCTAAAAATGTTAAAAAAAAGGTCCGAAGTAGAAAAAATAGTATCAAATACACGCGCCATAAGACATTTTTGCGCATTTATCCCACAGAAAACTCGTTTCACAATTCGTTTTCTAATTTTGAGATTCGTGCCCTCAAATAACGTCTTGTGAATCTTGTTTTATAATATATTAATGTATTTAGTTTAGATTTATTAGGGAATTTCTCCTATTTCGAAAGCTGTAAGATTGTCTTCAGATTCATACATTGTTAATAACAATTTAATCAAATGTTGCAGTTTGACGTGTGGTATGAACCACGACAAAATTCCCCAAAATTTTAAAAATCCAATTTTTATTTAAAAATGTTAAACAAGGTACGAAGTAGAAAAAATAGTGTCAATTACACGCGTCATAAGACATTTTAGCACATTCATCCCTTAGAAAATTAGTTTGACAACTCGTTCTAATTCTGAGATGCGTGATCTAAAACAATGTCTTATGAACCTTGTTTTTTAACATATTAAGATCGTAGACAGAACAAGATTTATTAGGCAATTTCCCCTATTACGGAAGGTGTAAGATTGTCTTCTGGTTCACACATTGTTAATAATAATTTAATCAAAAGTTGTAGTCTGACATTTGTAGTACCAACTACGACAAAATTCCCCAAAATTTTTAAAATTTCAGTTTTAATAACACAAGAAAAAAAGGTTCACAGTAGAAAAATTAGTGTGAAATATACGCAACATAAGACATTTTAGCGCACCCATCCCTAAGAAAACTCGTCTGACAATTCGTTTACTAATTTTAGGATTTGTACTTTAAAATAATGTCTTATGAAACTTGTTTTTTTTTAATATACTAATTTCCTACACAGAACGAGATTTATTCGGCAATAAATTATGGATGCTATTTTCGACAATTTCCTGTAATTCCGCGGGCGTAAGATTGTCTTGCTTCACACATCGGTAATAAAATCATTTATTATTGCGAACATTTAAACTTCAAACGTTATAATCTGACATTTGTGGTACCAACCACAACAAAAAAAAAAAAAACAAAATTATTAAAAATACATTTTTTATTTAAACAGAAAAAAATGCCAAAAGTTGAAAAAATAATATCAAATACACGTGTCACAATGAATTCAGTTCTGAGATAATTTTGTTGCGCTTCTATTGCCAAACCTGATTCAACGCTTGGTGCTATGTCACTTTTAAGCGCTCAAGAAAGTTTGGTTATGACATTTTAATATAATCAATGATAAATTTTGACGTATATTAAATGTCACTGTCAACCACGTCAGTTCGACAACAGGCAGTTGGGTATAGTGGCAGGTCTACCAATTTCCAGAAAAAATCATTGCTACCAACTGAAACAGTACTTGTTGATCACGCTGTATTTCGTACGAAGAACAAGATTTATTCACCAATTTCCCGTATTTCGGGGGTTGAAAGATTGTCTTCAGGTTCACACATTGTTAATAATAATTTATTATTGTGAAAAATTAAAACTCAAATGTTGTAATCTGACATTTGAGGTACCAACCACAACAAAATTTCCTGGTATTTTAAAAATTACAAATTTTATTTAAACATAAAAAAAGGCCAGAACTAGAAAAAATACCATCAAATAAACGCGTCATAGGGAATTTTAGGGCATTCATCCTTTAGAAAACTCGTTTTCAAACTTCAGCATTCGTGCTCTAAAATAATGTCTTATGAACCTTCTTTTTTAATAAACTACAGCGTGATCAACAAGTTCTGTTTGAGTTGACAATAATAGAATTAACCAGTTCTGAGAGAATTTTCTTGCGCTGCTATTGTCAAACCTGATTCAACGCTTGCTGCAATGTCACTTTTAAGCGCTCAAGAAAGTTTGGTTATGACATTTTAATATAATCAATGATAAATTTTGACGTATATTAAAAGTCACTGTCAACCATGTCAGTTCGACAACAGGAAGTTGGGTAGAGTGACAGGTCTACCAATTTCTAGAAAAATTCATTGCTACCAACTGAAACAGCACTTGATGATCACGCTGTATTTCGTACCAAGAACAAGATTTATTCACCGATTTCCCGTATTTCGGGGGTTGAAAGATTGTCTTCAGCTTCACACATTGTTAATAATAATTTATTATTGTGAAAAATTAAACCTCAAATGCTGTAATCTGACATTTGTGGTACCAACCAAAACAAAATTCCCTGATATTTTAAAAATTACAATTTTTATTTAAACTAAAAAAAAAGACCAGAACTAGAAAAAATAGTATCAAATAAATGCGTCATAAGGTATTTTAGGGCATTCAGCCTTTAGAAAACTCGTTTTCTAACTTGACCATGCGTGCTCTAAAATAATGTCTTATGAACCTTCTTTTTTAATAAACTACAGCGTGATCAACAAGTACTGTCTGAATTGACAATAATAGAATTAACCAGTTCTGAGAGAATTTTCTTGCGCTGCTGTTGTCAAACGTGATTCAACGCTTGCTGCAATGTCACTTTTAAGCGCTCAAGAAAGTTTGGTTATGACATTTTAATATAATCAATGATAAATTTTGACGTATATTAAAAGTCACTGTCAACCATGTCAGTTCGACAACAGGAAGTTGGGTAGAGTGACAGGTCTACCAATTTCTAGAAAAATTCATTGCTACCAACTGAAACAGCACTTGATGATCACGCTGTATTTCGTACCAAGAACAAGATTTATTCACCGATTTCCCGTATTTCGGGGGTTGAAAGATTGTCTTCAGCTTCACACATTATTAATAATAATTTATTTTTGTGAAAAATTAAACCTCAAATGTTGTAATCTGAGATTTGAGGTACCAACCACAACAAAATTCCCTGGTATTTTAAAAATTACAAATTTTATTTAAATATAAAACAAGGCCAGAACTAGAAAAAATAGTATCAAATCAAAGCGTCATAAGGTATTTTAGGGCATTCATCGTTTAGAAAACTCGTTTTCTAACTTAAGCATTCGTGCTCTAAAATAATGTCTAATGAACCCTATTTTTTAATATACTATAGCGTGATCAACAAGTACTGTTTGAATTGACAATAATAGAATTAACCAGTTCTGAGAGAATTTTCTTGCGCTGCTATTGTCAAACCTGATTCAACGCTTGCTGCAATGTCACTTTTAAGCGCTCAAGAAAGTTTGGTTATGACATTTTAATATAATCAAGGATAAATTTTGACGTATATTAAATGTCACTGTCAACCATGTCAGTTCGACAACAGGAAGTTGGGTAGAGTGACAGGTCTACCAATTTCTAGAAAAATTCATTGCTACCAACTGAAACAGCACTTGATGATCACGCTGTATTTCGTACCAAGAACAAGATTTATTCACCGATTTCCCGTATTTCGGGGGTTGAAAGATTGTCTTCAGCTTCACACATTGTTAATAACAATTTATTATCGTGAAAAATTAAAGCTCAAATGTTGTAATCTGACATTTGTGGTACCAACCACAACAAAATTCCCCAATATTTTAAAAATTCCAGTTTTTATTTAAATATAAAAAAAGGCCAGAACTATAAAAAATAGTATCAAATAAACGCGTCATATGAAATTTTAGGACATTCATTCTTTAGAAAACTCGTTTTCTAACTTTAGCATTCGTGCTCTTAAATAATGTCTTATGAACCTTCTTTTTTAATAAACCACAGCGTGATCAACAAGTACTGTTTGAATTGACAATAATAGAATTAACCAGTTCTGAGAGAATTTTCTTGCGCTGCTATTGTCAAACCTGATTCAACGTTTGCTGCAATGTCACTTTTAAGCG